CAAGGTAGTAAGGAAATTTTTTCGGAAAGGGTTTACTTATTTGGAATGTGGTTTCTGCGACAGTTGGCGGCAGTGCACTTATATTTGAGATAGACTAGTGTATGGTGGTTGAAGCGTCTATTGGGGGAACTGGAGGGGTAGCAGTGGTCCTTGGGATAGGCTGCTTTAAAGGGGTTTTTGTTTGGGCTTGCACATTTAGCTTCCTGTGGTGTAATTGTCTGCTGTGACAGATCACAGAGAGTTACATCTTTCTCAGCTACTGCCATTCAGACTATTGTCAGAACTACACTGAGGAGGTGGATGTTTTGGAGTCGTGTTGCAGTAATTGAAGGAACATTGGTGTCGACTTGAAGGTGCAACCGTAACACAGACAGAAGTTGTCGACTACCACCAGTTTGTCTTGGTTTGGCGTCTTGCAGGTTTTCCGAACTCGATGGCTCAAGATTTTCATTTCCAAGCTCGAATACTTTGGTTGTTACTGGGCTTCTCTGTAAGTCGTGCTGGTCTGAAATTGTTTTTTAAACTGGCTATTGTCTTTGAATTAGGGTTTAGGTTCTTTAAAGTAATTTTTTCTCATCTTAACTCGTATATGCTTCAGCATCAGTGGTAAAATTTGCATATGTGGGTTTTGGCAATGGTTAGGAAAAGTGAAGCAGTTTGGTTCCTTTATCCCGAATGCTACAGCATTGTGTTGTCGACAGAACTGACACCTCACAGAATTCCTACCGACAAAGCCCAGCTTGCACTTGTGGTGCAACTTCAGTTAATCCTTCAGCCATGTTGGCGATTATGGATGCCGTACGTCCACTACAGCATTCTGGGATCAATTCTTTTTCAGGAAACTGTTTATAAGCTGTGTACTCGATATTTCAAGACACATTATCTGGGTTTCTGAAAGTTAAACATTTTTTTGTCATTTCTGAAGTCTCTGGGTTTGTTCTAGACTGTTCATTTGTTGCATTAGTGTGATTCATCAGGCATTTCATTGGTTTTTCTATGTTCACCATGATTGATCCTAGCCTTACTAAATTTTTATTTCCAGATTAGTTAATGGATACAGTTAAGTATGAATTTGTTCTACAATCCATTCACCTTTGGCCAGCTGGTGTTGTGATCAGTTGGTACTGTGTCAGTTTTGCTAGCCTTTTCTTTTTTGGCAATGCAGCATATGTCGGCAGGCCCATATATCTCCAAAGCGATAAGAACCAGCTGTCTTCCAGGTACCACCGTTCTGGTGTACAGTGAAGTTTGAAAGCATACTGACAAAGAAGGATATTTATTTTCTCTGAGGGGAGCAAAGCAAAGTCTCTTGTTGTGGCATGCTTGTGATAGTTGTAGTTCAATAACAGCTGTGTCGTTCAGTCATCTGGCTATCAAGTCCAAAATATAGTCGTTGGGAGTCTGAGTCGTCTGCGGGGGGGCATCGATGTTGCTGAATTCTCATCTGGGGCGAGGTGGCAGCTTCTTGAAAATCTTTACCTGCGGTATACCGTGGCATGAAAAACACTGTGCTGTTTGTGTTCATCAGTTCGTTTTGCCTCAGCTAAAAGTTAAATCTGCAGTGGAAATCCTCTAAAATTCACCATGGATATTCCGGAATCAGTTGTTCATCTTTCTGTTTTTTAGAAAAAAAACCTCCAGAAGTTAGTGTCGTAGGTGTGAGGTAGTACTCGTAACACCAATGGAGTAGCAGGAGCCAACATTCGCATTGCATCGGTGACCGTTCTGCATGTCGGAGGTCGGACCTGGGCACTGCAGATTGGGTTCCAAGTTTGAAAAAACTGTCTGCACCCTCACTACATTCACTGCAGTGGCTCTGTGTATAGTCCTAGTTTCATTGTGCCATGACTGAATTTCTCTCCAGTGATTCATGAACTACCTGTAGGACATTCATTGAAGCTGGTTTTCAGTGAACTACCTAGAAGTAATCGGAAAAAGTACTAATTTAATTGGTGCTGAAATTATTCCCATGACTACCTATGTGCAAGTTAAAATGCACCCAAACGCTATGGAGTCCACCACTTACTCATGATGCAGCGAACTTGGTATAGGCAGTCTCTCAGCGTGTTGAGTGCTACTGTCCCGCTCTCTTGACAGCACTCCCATAGAGCCATCGTTTCCAGTCGAAGCAGTGCAATGAAGCAAAGTTCACACCTCTTCTGATCGCGAATTGCCAGTCGGTCTGGCAGCCGCATACATAGATTTGAGAATACTTACAGTTGTTCCGGACCTTGTTACAAGAGTGCTGCTAGTTGTTTCTGGTTGCTGGCCATTCATCGCTGGAGGTAGAACTTCCTGTTCCAGGTTTGGAACGGTTCTGTGGCACTGTTTCTGGTTTGGAAGTTTGCCATAAGAAAAAGAAAAGGCGATTGCTCGCAGCCATTTTCTCGCTTTCATGTTGGAACACCTTGCTTTCCTTTCGGGAAGACGTGGCAAACGACCCTTCCTGTTCGCCGCTTTTCTGGGGGAATTATTTCTGGAGGCTGACGGCTGGCTCATTTATAGATTCATGCTTCAAAGTTTTTTCTTTTCTTTTTTTTTTTTTTTTTTTTGTGTATTGAAGGAAGGTCAGTAACTGGCCAGAAGGCTGTCTATTATGCCTGCTTAGTAACTGTGCCATTAGAGTGGAGTCATAGGGGAGGACAAGAAAACCCCCAGGTGCGATTTGTGGGCATCCCTTGAAATGGACTCTTTAAATTTATACTCCGTCTCATCGCAGTGTGGGCTCCCGCTAAGGACGCAAGCACGATCTCCTTTCTTTTAAATGTGATTTGGCTACATGAATGCTCATGAAGCGGAATCGGCGATTGAAAGTCACTTGCTCGCGCTCGTAACCTTCGCTGGCACCAACACTATGGCGAGGTGAAGTACAGTCACTCCAATCTCCCACTGCCCTTGCGCAGATCCAGCTTGGGGTTGCCTCGTAGCACAAAGACCATTTAGCGACCAATGTCTGGTCTTTAGATTGTTAGAATCAGTGCCCACAACCGCTTGCGTTCGGGTGGTCAGTCTTCCCGGCGAGAGAAGCAACGCCGCTTCGGCATGTTGCGCTTCCGGCAGACAATCATCCTTCGTCGCCCACGGACCCCCTTCGTGTTGCCGTCGTCGTTGACGATCTCCCTTCGGCGCATGTATGCTTCAGAACGGAGGGTGGCGGCACACTTTGTGTGCCCGCTTTCTCCCTTTCACCGTTTTTGGTCTCCCTCTCCCCCTCTAGCTGAAGCATGTAGCGGCAGCAGGTCAGCGCGAGACGCAACAACTGATCCAACTCGTATCCCTTCTGGTGTACGCTTCTCGGTGTGTCGCCTGGCAGAATTGTTTTTTTTCCGCAGTGAGTCAGCCTCTGATCGCGTTGGTCGGCCTACGTTCACTTTCCCACCATCCCCGTCTTTGCGCCCCCCTGTATCGTGGAGCATTGGCTGTCAAAACCTCATGTCTCTTTCGGCGCTCACGAAAACTGTAACCTGTTTGTGATGTGTAACACCAAAGTAGAAGTGTGTGGTGCGCATACCTTTTTGTGGCTCTATGTACATAGGCAGTGCCTTCATGCAGGGCCCCGATGGCAAGGGCAGGAAAGTGCTTGGGACTTCGCGTTTGGTGCTTGTCATCTCTTTTGCTTTTCTCGTGGTCAATGTTGCTTCACACTCCAAGGCCGGTTTTGCTTGGGAATTCGCCGTGAAAGAAGGTCCGCACATGCGAAGTGAACATGTCAACCACCATGATGTCATGTGCTGTTATGGATTGCTAATGCTGTGGCCATCTTGTTTGCCTTAATCAAGCTTCCTAAATAGTCTGGAGGGATGTGCAAATCTAAGAAGGCTTATTGAAAGATGGCCCATGAATTGGCGGTGCACAGCAACATTTCAGCTTTGTGGCTTTAGCCTTCCAGCCCAGTGGACAACTTCTCGTTGAATGATCGGGTTGAAAGGCCGACGAACGTTTAACTGCCTGTTGGTGTTGCTGTGTGGTGCAAAAGCAGTGCTAGTAGGGGTCCCATTTAAATGTTCTGTGACTGTATGACCTGCTCACTGTTTTCCTCGTTGAATGTTGGTCAGGCCAGTGCACTTGACTGCTCTTGCCAACACGGTCCTGTGGGGGTAGGCAGCAATTATGCAGACTCGAGATACGTGTGCCAGTTACCACTCATGTTATCGCGCTTCAATGCTGCAGTAGTACACTGTTCTAGAATGTCGTGCCTAGAACTTCACTGTTGCAGGAGATATTCTGAACCTTACTTGTGAGAATCAAGGAAAAGAGCTGTCTATTATATTGATCAAATTATGGTTCTTGTTTGTTCAGATTTTTGTTCTGGTGTTAATGTGGGCAGATATAAGTATATATATAAAAAAGAGCAACTTGTTTTGTAGGTGTTTGAATTCCTCCAAACTATGCTTTTGAAATAGTCTCAAGCTGTACCACAAAGAGCAAGCTTGATGGATTTTGACCCTCTTGCTTTTTCTCACTCGTAAACTCCAACTGTTGTTTCATTGGATCTGTTATCTCTTCACTCAAACTCACAATATTGAAGCATACTCACATAAAACAACAGCCCTGTTCACGAGACCATACCTTTGTAGAACTGAAAAGCAATATTCATAAATTTAATTTCTTTCTCCCATAATTCATACCACGCCACAGCTGTTTGCAGGATGTGTTTGTGTTCATTTCAGCCTGGTGATTTTGCTTTATACTCGTGCACCATCTGTTTTTTTCTCAAACATTGTGTAGTTAGAAGACATTTTTTTTAGTTTTTGAGATTTCAAGTTGCATTTTGACCTGCATTGCCTGTCGTATCTTTTGTTAGATGCTACGATGCATATATGGGAATCGTTTCACAAGCTTCCCCTGGGTTTGTTGCAACGCATTTTCTTGCATCGACGCAACCGTCGAGCCCCCATCTGCAGCTAACGAGCGGTAGTAGGGTTACCTTTCTCACCTTGGTTTGCTAACTGGTTTTCTTGGTTTTCGTTTTCCTCTTTCCGTTTCCGTGTCCCCCACAGGCGCCCGGTGCCGTCTGTCCCTCCCAGAATCCCCGACAGGCCCCAGCAGGTGTCCTCCTCGCAATGGCCCTACTGAGCCCCCCCCTTTCCCCCGCTCCCCCTCCCACCAAACAAAGACACAAGCACATGAGACTGAACTAGTGGGCCAAGTGGAGGCAAACATGTGGTCCAACTGGGGGTGGAGGGCGGCGTGACGACCGCATCGCAACCAGCCGCAGGATCCGGAAGAGCATTCCAAGGAGCAGCAGCAGACGGGGTGCGGGGGAGACAGACGCTCCGGTTTTCATCCCCCCGCGACCTTCTCCGGACGCGTCGTCTGTCGAGCGGGCGACGACGACGGGACGTCCAGAGTCCTGCTAGTCCTGGCCTCATCTCCTCCCCCTCCTCCCTTCCTTCATTACTTTTTGATTGTGTACGTTTGTAATTACTGTGATTGCATTCGCCACCTCTTTGGTTGTCTTTTTTTTTTATTGCAGCATTTTTTTTTTTTGTGGTTGCTGGTTTTTGGTTTATTATGACATAGCCATTTTTTTGTGTTAACATTCAGAAAGGTGTTTTCCACCTTATTTGCAATGGTCTTTTTTTTTTTTGTAATAAATTTATTTTGAGTGGTGAGTTGGCCTATAAAACAGGCCTGTCACAAGGTGACTCTGACAACAGGCTTCAACACATTTTTTTGGAACTCGATTGAGGATGCTTGGTTTTTGTTTCATGTTTTTTTTTTTCTTGTTTTGTTTAGAAAAGCATGGGCAGATGTTTTTGTGTGCCCTTCCGTACATTTTTATATCTGCATTGTAATGAATTCTTTTAAAGGGCTAATTTATTTGTGCAAAATGTTCATTGAAGGAAGGAATCGAGAAGGCGTGGCTTGTTTTGCTGATCGTCTGACTCAGAGTGATATGGTTTGGAAGGTAGGAAGGATTTCCGAGGTCCCGGGGCTTGGCGAAGTGGTCGACAGTTGACGACGACCTTCTTCTTTCCGCAATGGAACTTTGAGATTAGCCCTGTTTACGTTAGTTGCTCGCCCTTTGTAATGTAGCATTTAGTATTACTTTTTTTTTTCCTTCTCTTGTTTAGATTGTGGAAGCGAGGATGCATGATTTGCTTAACTACACCAAACTGGTTCGGTTGTTTGAGCTGCGTTTGTTACCGAATTCCTCCGTGTTGTTCATAGCAACTGTCTTCGCTGCGTAGCGCACATCTAATGGTTCCACTTAGTCTCCGGTGCTTTCGTTACCTGTGGTTTCGTTGACACACTGCGGAGCCTGGCTTGCTCGTCGAGGGTGTCGGCAGCCGTCATGCAGGCATGAGAAGCCGGCGATGCCACAGGTTGGTTTTCCGCTCCCCTTTCTGTTGCGGCACTCTCGACCCCGTCGGCAAGCCCAGCTCTGCCGATTCAGAACTATTGCGTACTCTCCTGACGCCACGCCATTAAGAGACGAGAGGCGCAGTAATCGCACTCAAGACAAAAGTGCAACATTTCTCTCTCGGGCGCATAGAAGCGTGTACGGCAAAGTTTTAGCATCGGTAATTACCGTGATTCTCTCTCGGCCCTAGCTGTAGCGGAGACGTGACCCTGTCCCCCCCCCAATTTCCCAATGTGCAGATGCCTCTACTTACTCTTTCGCAATGTAACGAGTGTTGCGCAGTGCACTCGGAACGTGGAAATTGTGCGTGTTGGCGTTCAAAGTGTGTGCACACTTGTGAGAATGTATGATATATATGACAACTGCAGACTGGGGACTTTGGTGCCAGTAGTGTACACTGGCAGCGATGTGTGTTTGAAGTTATAAATTAAAGAAGTATTGATGTTGGCGAAGCTCTGCCTTTCTTCCTTTCTTTTGTGTCCTTTCTGGTTGGCCTGACGGTGATGCTTTAGCACAGCACATTTGCCTGCAGGTCTCCTCTGAAGCTGTGGTGGCTACACCGAGGCTATCTTCAGAGGATTTACAAAGGGAGGTTTGCGGATCCTTTGGGAGTCAAAGAGGCACTTTGGGGTTGGCGAGCTCTACTCCATCTCGCAAACATTTGCAGTGCAGACAGACATGGGCTCGAGCGTGTGGCATAGGAAAGTGTCTCATATGCTCGAGTTCTTGTGCAAACAAAAACAATCTGCTGAGCTAGGCTCACGCTCCTGTGCCTTTAGGGCGGACATTTGTGAGAGGAGTATAATGGGTGCTCTGTTTTTAGGTTTTACAGATATATATATATATATATATATATATATATATATATATATATATATATATATATATATATATATATATATATATGTGAAGGTTACAGTTAACTTTTTAATTGAAAATAGACATGGTTTGAATTAATCTTGCTTAGCATCATCGAAAACCACTAGATCAACTCTTTTTTTGTGAAGATAAAAGACGAACTGCATTTTACAACGTTAGAAAAGAGAAGACTAAATTTGGACGGGTTTTTAGGTTGTTTTTTTATCGTAGCGAGTCTTTGCGCCCGCGGTCCTACTCCCCAGTGGTTCCGCCGCAAAGCCACCGCCTCGCCTCCCTCGTAGGATAGAGGGAGGTAGGACGCACGCCTGTTGCGCGTCTCAGCCACTGGGGAGCAGGACCACGGGCGCAGATATGTGCTCTGATAAGAAACCGGAACATAGGAACTCGTCCAGATGAGGTGTTTCTACGGAACGCTATAAAATACTGCGTTATATCTTTCTAAAGAAAGAGTTCATTTAGTGGCTTTTGATGACGCTGAGCAAGTTTCTAATTGGAACCATACCTCTATATTCACTAATTAAAACGTTAACACCGTTTACTTAATTTGGTGCCATTGCTCCGTATCATGTTCCCGTGTCTCGCTTCTGTGGCATACGTTTGGCACCATCCAATCTAAAACAAATTGAATGGTGCCAAATGTAGGCTGCAGGAGAATGTATGGAGCAATGGCGGCTGATCTCACGTCAATGTAAGCCACGTATACTATGTCTTCCTTGCCGTAAAACTCGCCTGCACAAACCGCGCAAGTGTAGCTTTCACGGCTTTTTTCCAAAAGCAAATCTGTAAAACGTAAAAAAAAAAAAAAAAAAAAAGAAAGCAGCGGCGGAGCTGTAGCTTCTGTTCTCGGCGGTGGCTTTCCAGGCGAGCGATCTGCTCTTTCGTAAGGGAATCTGAAACGCTCGACGCAGTGGAACTTTAGGCGATAGCGGCCTCGCGGCGGTTGCGGAACCATTCGCGCTGCTGCGCACACCGCTGCTCGTTCCGTTCCCTCTCTTCCTCCAAAGAAATGTTGCCGCCATCTGTGAGCGACGGCAATAACCAGTTGTCTGGTTGCCGAGGCTGGAAAGGTTGCCGCGATTTATGAGCGACGGCAGCAAGCAGACAACCGGCAAACACAACACACTGGACAGCTACCGCCATCTATGAGCGACGGCGGCACTCAGAGTGTTGTGTCGACATTTGTTTGCTACCGGACACGATCCTGGGGAAGCTAGCCCTTAACAGCTCCGCTGTAAAAACACATTGTATGTATTTTTACTTGTTGACGGCTGAGTCAATACCATAGTACCTAGAAGACGAGGCCTGCGCCTTTCCCTCCCCAACGTCATCTCTAGTGGAGCCACGCAGCGCCGCGTAGTTTGCATCAGCATAGCTGCTTGGGGCAGGGGGCGGGGATCCACCGACGATTACGTCATTTGCAGGCCTTGCTTTCTAAATATTTTTTTTTTTATTGGCATGGATTGGTTTTGCATAGAAACGCTGCCGCTTGATGCGTAAGTGCCGTGCCGCTGCATATGGCTATCGGGTGATTTCTATCGTTAATTGCCGCACAGCGAGTTCTCTTGTTTGGTGTGTTTAGCGAGGGTGGAGAATAAAAATCGAGATGATTTAAATGGAACCTTTATCGCAAAAAGAACCTGGAAAGTAGAATTTTCATTTAGTTTTATCATTTTGTCGTTTTTTTTATTTGCATTTGTTAAATGCGTCGGCAGTTATATCCCTGGTGCATGCAACAGTGTTTGGTTTGGACTGGACTGGACTGGACCGGACCGGACCGTGGACCAGTTTCGTGATGCCGCGGCGCAATTCTCGCCGTGACCGTTCGCTCCGTTCGTTACGTGCGCTTTCCCTCTTACGTGAGGAAGGGTTCTGGCACGCTTTCAATGACGCGCCGGTGCTGAAGCGTACTCCTCTAAAAGCTGTGGTGGCTGCATCCGAAATCGCCGACGCCAGGGAGAAGACTGGCTCTCCAAAGACAACGAACCCCTGCGCTCAATACTAACGCATTTCGTCGAAAATCAGCCTAACAACAACAATTTCAACCTCTTTTTTTTTTTTGGGGGGGGGGGGGGGGGGATTGAAATCAGAGATATTAAGCAAGACATTGATATCGGACTGAACACGAGCAAAAAAAAAAGTGAAAGCCGTTTACAAATCCCTGTAACGCCGAATTGGAGCGCAGCTCTTGAGGAGGAGGAGTGAAGGGTACTGAGGGGAGGGTAGACCCCTCCTCCTCCCCTCATTCTTTAATATGCTCCGGGGGGGCGGTCACGTGACCTCGGGGGGGGGGGGGGGGGGGGTGTCACGTGACTTCGGGGAGGGGGGTCACGTGACCTCGGGGGGGTCACGTGACCTCAGAGGCGTCACGTGACCTGGGGGGTCACGTGGGGGTCACCTTGGGGTCACGTGACCTTGAGATGACCTTGGGGAGGAGACCACGTGACCTCGGGGGTCACGTGACCTCAGAGAGGTCACGTGACCTTCAAAGGGTCACGTGGGGTCTTAAGGTCACGTGACCTTGAGATGACCTTGGGAGGGGTCACGTGACCTCGAGGGGTCACGTGACCTTGGGAGTCACGTGGGGTCACGTGACCTTGAGATGTCCTTGGGAGGGGTCACGTGACCTGGAGGGGTCACGTGACCTTGGGGGTCACGTGACCTTGGGATGGCCTTGGTTACGCCGACGGCGACGCCGACGGCGACGGCGACGCCGCTCAAGCCGGGAACGGGCCCCTAAGAGCTGCGCTCTAAAAAAGCGGTGCTGTTCTGAGCACATCAAAACATTGAGCTTTCTGCCTTCCACTTCGTCAAATCAAACGCAAAAAAAGGCTTTTTTGTGTGTGTTTTAGCAGTTTTAAACCGATAAAAAGGTAGTTAAGCAGTACTTTAAATATGCAGTAATTCTTCCGTATTGTTATAAATAACCGAATGGGTCAACCTACCATGTTTTAGAAATTTAATGATGATAAATTTTCTAGTCACAATGATTTAAGTCAAGTCAATAAATCTGACATAAACTAAAACTATTTTTTCCTTTTGTTAAA